TAATAGGCGATATTATAGGCATCAAAGAGAAAGTCTGCGGAACAGATACACCCAAGGCAAAACAGTATAGATATAGGAAATTTTCCTTAGCTGCGTTAAATCTGCGGGATTCTGTTCTCAAGTTGTACGCAAACCCATCTTCAGGTGTCTGAAATTTATTGGTTTATGTCGAACTTTACTGAGTTTCTGATTACTTGTGAATATCCGATTAGTTTCGAACGCCGGAAAATAAATGGATTGCCATAAGACATGGAAAGCGAGAACTTTTCGATTAGAGCTTATTCTTTACAAAAATAATTTATTTGAAATACGTGCGTTGCGCAAGTATCAAAATGTTTTCTATAGAAATAATGTAATAATTTTGAATTTTCTATATTTATACATGTAATGTTGTTATACATATATTATTCTTTATTCTACTACACGATGCTCTTTGTATATTATTTTATGATATGAATTAAAGTAGGATTAAAATTTTACTTATACTACTAGTAGAATAAATTAATAATGTAAAAGTATTTAATTTAATTAAGTACATTATTCATTATCTTGAAAAACGAATAATTTAAGGATACATTTTAACATGTATATTTATTATTATTATTATACTAATACATTTTATAATTGAACAAGCAGGCATGTTATAACGAGCGAGCTCACAGTATAACGAGAAGAAATTTCACTCGTTACCGTATGCATCTTACAAGAATAACTTTTGACAATTTTGCCGCTGCATTGCGCCGAGATTTTCATGTATACGAGTGATAAAGTATGTATACAACTGAAACGCACCTCAGTTGTACTCTAAGTAAATCGTTTCCCCGAAACTTTCTGAAGACTCGTGTCACGAACTTACGAGCACCGGCTCATGAAGTTGCCTGAAGAGTTTTTACATCAAGAACCCTTTGAATTCGTCGCGGCCTAGACTTTTCAGGTCGTGGCGAACGAGTCTTTCAAATCCCTCTCAAAAGGCTCTTACCGAAAATCCATGAATGATACCTCATAAGCTCTTCTTACGCACACGTCGCATTTATATATGCATGCATCTGAAAAATCTGACTCCGAGGTTTTGCGAAAGTTTTCCTCTCGGTTTCCCTCGCCGTCGGACAGTTTATTCTGCACGTATATTTTGTGTAAATATTATTTGTATCTGACAATTCTATATAAGTCTACTCTACATTTATTTTATGCAATTATATTCGCGCAAAATTAATACAAAGAGAAAGTATGTATTACGTCTTCACATCGGATTTTCTCGATTATAAATTCTTTAGCAAACTTGGAACGGAATGGAAAATCAACTTTAAAATGGTCAAACAGCCTGCAGTTGAGAGGAACATTTCGGTGTCCACGGAATATTCTGGTATATCAGTATTTCGTAGGATATTTAAATATGCATAAAAAAGTATTGCGTATGGCATTGCATGCGATATCAACCGTCAGAGATGATCAGATTATATATTTTTTTTATGTTCGAGTGGAATATTCCAAAAGTAATATCAACGATCGCTATCTGGGATCCGGAGCGTTCGCGATTTCGCCATCGTTGGCAAAACTCTCATACATTTTGAGATAAATGTGATAGGAGCAGACTGGAGGAACGTACCGTAAACCTCGACGATTGATAAGCGACCAAAGGATTTTGGCTCTTCTCAATTTTCAAACCTGTCGGGGCTATATTCCACTTTAAGTCCCCTTTACCGCCCGCCGCGCACCAACGTTGCCGCCGTTACAGAAATTCGTTCTCTTCTGCACCCGTAGTAATTTCATTTCGTTCACACCCGGTTTTCCGCGGGCGGCTGGTCGCTTGATTCGTACGTATTACTCCCTGGGCCGTGGTCGACAGAATTGTTTTTAGGAAATTGACTTTTCTATCCGACAGAAGGAACAATGCCCCGCGGAGGAAAATCCACTGACGTTCCACTTAATGGCACCACCCTCCTTCCTCATCGTCAGAGTTTCCATTCCAAAAGGGATTTCAACAGTTGACACGCCGCGCCCCGTCAGAGAGATTTAATCTCGAACAGAAAGAAAAATGTTTTACACGAAATTGCTCCCCAATAATCCTTGCATACATATATTTTATATATATATCATTGTAACCTATTTTAAATATAATCTATTATCTGGTTATGCCGAATTAAGGAAGAAACAAAAGCGCGATCTTTTTCCAAATCTTGTGATTGTAAATTACTCCTAGAGATTAATGTGAAATAAAAATTACATTTATTTGAATCCCTTGCAAATTTATAGGTAATAGAATTTGATTCTCGATAACTTCGATTATTGTTAAAAGTCTTAAATTTTATAGCAAAACTTGAAATATATAAATTTGTTAGTATTAAAAGTATAATAACTATTTGAATTTTTCCAAAATTTTGTTATATTTTCTTTTTTCCAATTTATTCTTTCTTTAATCACATTTAAAATCACATTTAGGTATTTATATTCTAGAATTTTTTTGAAACAAATCATCTATTATTAATTATGTCATATATAGAAAGCCAGTAGATTAAGTGTGATATTGTTATATTATCATGTAAAATATACTAATATGTGTTACGGTAGCTACACTTTGAATTACAATAATATTCACGCGTGTCATATCTGTCAACGTGTCTACATTAGAATGTTGAACGTCTACATGTGCTTAGTTTTCACGCGTGTTATATTCATGATACCGATAATGTACAAACTGAACTAAAATCAACTGATTATCGGCGACACATTTCTCGATGATTTGATATCTATTCATCAGATTTCCTGCGCATTTCGTCGAACGGAGACACGTATCATTATCGTCGCTGTTATTGATTGTAGGCTTGTCGATTTTGAATGTCGCGCAGCATAATGATGACGTTTTAATGATACGAAATGTAATGCAGACCGTGTTTACCAATCAATAATCCGGTCATGCCAGGCACCATCATTTGACTCATCTATCTCATTTTTTACAATATACGTGTGAATTTTCGTGTAAATCATTTAACACAAAAAAGCTTTTCGCAAAAAAAAAAAAATTAAGTTTCAACGAGGACGACACACGTGCCATCGTTCCGTGCAAATAGAGAACACGTAGCGCATATAAATTTTGCACTGCAAAGATACTAGAAATTCGAATGCAACATAGAGTTTGCGGTGAAATGTTCAACTTGGAAAAGCTTTTCCTTTTTTATTGTATCTTTTTTTATTTTACAATATGATGAATAATAAAAATCATAATCTATTTTTAATGCATAGTTTTAATTTTAGATTATTATAGACAAACTCTGGGAAAGTATAAAAAAGTGATAATCTATTGGATTAACTTTTTTAACCTTTATTTCAAGATACTATTTTATTTCTAGATGTTATGATGTTAAAAAATATTATTTTTTTAGCGCAACTACATTGCACAACTTATAATTTTTTAAAATATTAGTATCAATAAAATAGAATATCGTTTCTAATATTTATATAATGTTTGATAAAGCTGCAATATCACAACAAAATTTCAATAGATATTAAAAAAATTTGTGAATCTATTTGTTATATAAATATTTCTCTGATATAAAATCGCTGTGTGTATTAATTCTTTTATTTTAATATGATATAAATATTTTGTGTAATAATTTTATTTGCACTGTATTAAAAATTATTGTATAACACTATAAAAATTTGACTTTTTTATCTTTGACTTGTAGAATGTTATTGAAAATTTTTGGTCGCTTAATTTGAATCCGCGCTTTAAAAAATTCTATTACAATACTAAAATATATAAATACCATTTATATATATGTATCTTAAACTCTCGAAATAAAAAATATGAAAATTCAGACTTATAAGCTAATCAGAGTCAACGCAGGTCAAAGAGCGTAAGGAACATCTTACAAAAAGAAAAATGTCTTCAATCAATTCGATGTTGTTGAATCATCTTTATTAAAAGTCTTGATGTCAACATCGAATTGAAGAAATTTTTCTTTTTGTAAGAAGTTTCCTTACGCTCTTTGACCTGCGTTGACTCTGATTAGCCTGACTTATAGGTCTGAATTTTCATATCTCTATTACAATACATTACATTTTTAAGAAAATAAGGTAACACAGGCCGGAAATAATTTCGATATTTAGAACAGCATTACGAATGAAAAAATTTAATTTTTTTAATTCCGTCTCCACTATCACAAAGTGCTATGTTTTATCTTTAAAATCATTTTTTTTATTTCTGTACGATTATTTAAGACTAAGTACATGGGTTTAAAGTTAAACATATCAACTCGTATTCAAAACGTGCTTTTATGATGTTAGCGCGCGTATTTAGCATATAGTTCACGTATATTATAGAATTTCAGACATAAAAGCATGTATTTATCGATAAACGCGCGTTCTAAATATGGGCTATCATGTATAGCTATAGTGTCATTCTTAGTTCGCGCGTACTTCTATTTTTGTGGTTACACAATTTATGTTCCTTGAACTTGATATTCCGAAGTTAGCGTGACAGCCCCTATAGATCATTCAGCCACGTTTTTGGAAGCGATCTTTGTTACACTCCTTTTTTAATATTCTTTTTTATTTAATTTTTTTATTACTTTCAAGTCCAAGAAACAAATTATGTAACCACAAAAATAAAAATGCGCGTGAACTAAAATATAACATTTACTAGCTATATATAATATGCCTCACTTCAAACCCACGTAATTTGACCTTAAAAAAATCAAAGATAAAAAATAGCACTTTAAAATAGCATAGACAAATTAAAAAATAAAATTTCCTTATCCGCAATACCTGTTTAAATATAACCGCCATTTTTTGCTTATATTACTCCAGTTTTCTTGAAAATGTGACGTGATATTCTGGACAGTATCGTTTTCAGCATTAAAAAATCTCTGGAAACGATAAATCTTTGCACGTTAAAGACAAAATCAGTGCCGGACAGTGTAGTAGTTAACATTCCAGAAACTAGTTCGCCGTTTGACAGAATAACGAGAAATGGTAACTTTTCTTTTTAACATGTGTTGCAGTAACCTTAGAAAACGGAAGCGGCACGCATACGATGACGTTTGTGACAATACTCTGCCTGGGCACGCTCCATCTGCTTCTGAGATAGTCACGGCACGCCTGAGACCACGAAAAGGGAGCTCACGGGCGTCGCATGATAAATAGCACACTAGTCAGCGGGAGAAAGGGCTGGATGAAAAGACGATGGAGGCAGGGTTTAAGGACCGCGTATGGACGGCGCAGAAACAAATAATATTGTTAAACCATATATGATCATTGAGTGTTTTTTTTTTCTTTCTAGTAGATTCAATATTCTTTTTTTTTTCTCTGAACGGGTCAGGATCGTAAATTCTACATGTTCCCCGTCTGCAATCGCTAATAGCAGCGCGATATTAATTTTCAGCTAGTGAATCATTTTCTGGTGCAGCATTGCCATAATAATTAGAATCATTTCTCCACAACCTGACGTCCCTGAGTCAAAAAGGACACGACGCGTTTAATGTGATACATTTGCCGATCGCGAGATCGTCGATCGTGTTATCGTTACATATTTTACCACCGCGCCTTTTGTATAGTTATTTTATAAGACGCGCCGGTATGCACGGATTGTTTCCCGTTTGTCTTTTCGATGATATACGAACTGGATAAGAGAAGAGCGGCGATACCAATTAACGATCCCTGGACTGGATCGTGACCGATGGAGAGATAGGTAATAAAGGATCACCGTAGCCAAATCCGCTGTTAGGAGATCTACTGCCACGCGCTTTACGGAGAATCGGAGAAGCATAGCCAATTAGTCGCGTTCGATTACTACTACGACGCTCAATTTGACATTTGACGAGTAATGAACAGAAGAGATTTGTTCCAAGAGTAGAGTGACAGCGAGAAAAGAAGGGAAAGGACAGGACTTCGAAGTCGATTGCACGTATACATCTATAAGTGCTTGTACAGCCCACTTCTGAAGATTTGCGATCCTTGTTGTGAGAGAAAGAATGAGAGAGAGAGAGAGAGAGAGAGAGAAAAGAGTGAGAGAATGAGAGACGTCTCTTCCGCTACCACTGACGAGAAGAGAGCCAAGCCGTACAGATCGCACAAAGGAACAGACACGGATAAAGCGGTGCGAAAAGTTTTCTCATAACGAAAGGGAAAAACAGCGCGGACTCTCCGGTTTCGCGAAATCGTACCCTCCCTGTACTCCAGCAACAACGCACTCGATGCGCACTCGAATATCTTTTCGTTACACTCGCCAAGGATGGTGATTCGAGTCCATTGTTCAAAAGCTCTCGGACTCGGTCGCGTAGGCGGATCAATGTCGCGTATTTCGAAGCGATGGGCTCTGGACGCGCACGCGGGATCAGACTGCTGACTCTCCTTTTCCCCCCTTTTTTTGCTAACTTCTCGTTTTTCGCGTTTTATTTGTAGTTTTTTGCAAAACTACAAGAACAGTGTAGTTGCTGCTGTTGCTGTTGTTGCTGCCGCGGAAGAACTCGGCCGTACACGAGTAGTTATGTACTTACATTGATTGTTAGCCTCCGATCTGCGTACGATTTGTTCTCTAACGAGTTTGTTACTCACTCTTTAATGACGCCGTGCCAAAGAAAAATAGACTTCGATCGGTCTGTTCTATCTTCCGTATTTTTTTAATACGATAAGGTACGCGTTCCATTCTCGTTACTGTTTTAATAGTATCCCTTCTTATCTGGACTCTGAAAACGTAATGTTTGAATTGGACGGCGCGTTTTACCAATCTCTGATGGCCGCGTCACTGAATCCATGTATTAAGCTATAATATCTAGCAGGTATACGATGTCGTCGGACATATAATCTGGGGAAAGGTTTCGTTTCGAGATCGATTTATCGAAGGAGATAGAGGAGAAACCAACGCATTGGAAAGGATGGCACGAACGTTACGTTTTTCATTCTCCCACCTCCTATCTCTTCTTTATTAAACGGACGATAAACTCCGTGGACGATTCCGCGCGTCTATAAGCTGGCTATATACGTGCAGCTTGTTCCTTCATCCTGAACACAGAAATCGTCCGTATTAACCCCTATTCCACCCTCGAATAGAACGTCTTTTCCTCCCTTCCTTCCGCTTTCGTTCTCCTCCCGCGGCGCACACCACAGCATTTGGCACGCTCGCGACCGCTTACAAATCTTCGCGAAGTAATGCGTATCGGCGTGAAACTGCACGGAAGGCATCGCGTGGAACCACGACCCTTATTTCTCATGCAAGCGGATTCGCCGATTCCTGCCTGGTACCTTAAATCGTGCCAAATTGTAGGGATCGATGTCGGACGTGCTAATAATTTTGCATGGAAATCGATATTATCGATATTCTCGGACGGAGTGCGTCTTTGAAAGTTGTAGAATTAATAATTTATGGCGATAATTATGAACGTTAAGTTTTAATTTGAACGTAGAAGCAGAGTGCATTACAGTTTTTACAAGTCGTATTATAACATTTTGTTTTTAATTTTTTTTTTTAATTTGTATAGTTATAACGTGATAAAATATTACTTTGTAAATGAATGTGTCAAATGTGCTAATGGGTAATTTTGTAGAAATTTTATTCGCGGATGAAGTATGATGTAGACAGAACAATTTTTTAAAGAACATTTAATTTCCGTGCCCGAAGCTCGTTTTTGTAAATGGGTGTAAGTGAGATAAAAATCCGATTTACTATAGTTTTCTGATATCGCTAAAGAGAAGTTACAACTTCCTTATATATAAGTTAGAAATAAGATAAATAGAAATATTTTTGTTAAATCTGGAATTTTAAAGTCTATATTTAAGTGTCTTTAGTTTTAAGATCTTTTACAAGTCATTATATTATTGTTTTTGGGCATTACATTTTAGTTAATGTAAATACTTATTTTTACCAAGCATAATAAACTATCGCATGAACTCTATCTTTCTATCAATAGGTTGAGAACAATCTGAACCTCATACAAATATATTTATTCTGTAGTATGCTGTTAATAACTTCTTAATGTAAATATTAAATATTTTTTTCAATCCACATATTAAAATATAAACGCAGTCTTGCATATCGTGCGAACGAATGTAAATTGACAAAAATTATATTTACAAATACGGTGTACGATGTGAAAGGCAGGCAGAATAATTTTAGAACTAATTTTTTCGTTTTAAGCTTCTTTTGCAAATAAGAAAATTTGATATAATTTATCAACATTTTTTAAAATTATGTAATAATTTTTTTTAATGAAATTTTATTTCCACATATGTCATTTAATATTAAATTAACTTAATATATAACTCGAATATAGAAAATACGGAAAACATTGCATATTTACATGTTTCGATACTACTCAAGTCTCTTTAATTATAAAATCTATAAACTTTTTTGTTTTTTTACTTTTTAAAGTTGTGCTCTTTTAATTACTTAGATATATTTGCTTTTCAAAAGTAAAATATACACCGCTGCTACGAACAACTGCGGTCTTATTTGTAGCGCGTTGAAAACAGTACTTCACTAAATGCAGACGTTTTCATTCCCCTGGCAATTGCGCTCGCAATCAGATCGAAGAATTTCCACGAGCGCGCATAAATATATCCGCTTGTCGGTGCTCACCCCCGTCCGACCTCTCGCCTCCTCGACGTCGCGTCGGTGGCGCGGCGAGGGAAGGCGAGGCGATATCGTGCGCGCGCCTCCTAAAATTCATTGCCCGAGTACCGAGTCTATAGAACGAAGCCCACAATTAACCCGAATCGAGATCTCTACGCTTCTCTGCCGCTATACAGCCCGACTACGGGCGAAGTCTTAGAAGGAGCGCCCATGCAAGAGCTCGAAGTTTGCACGACGAATACCGCGCGCGGGCAAGCAGATACATCCAACCACCCTTCGTGAAATAGCGTATACCAAGGAAGCCCCAGGAACCCGGTGTTTGTGTATCCCTCGAATCCCTCCCCGGTCGTGTGTAGCGCGTCGGCCGCGCACGTGTGCGGCTGTTTGTATGTATAGCTACGTGGCAGTGGTTACGCGCGGCGTCGTCCGCGCTGGTGTACGCGTGCACGTCTGTACACCTCATCGAGAACAAGTTCCTTCCTCACACAGACGCGACAAAGGAAACGACGTTTCAGCTAACTGAAACGTCGTCGCCGTAACAATCACCATCGTCGGCTAGACCATCCTTCGCGTACCTATCCTCTCCCCGTCCTCATTCCCATCTCTCATCTACCGTTTCACTTTGCTTCTCTGTTTGCCTCCTTTTCCCGGCTCACCTCTCTGGGTCGCGCTAGCTCCCAGCTTCTGTCTGTCTGTGTCCGTTGAGCCGTTGTTGAGAACCGGAGCTCTGCGGTAGGAGCGTCGAATCTACACCGACACTCGCATGGCTGCTGCTGCGGTACTCGTGGTGCTATTCGCCGGCATACTGCGACTCCGGGGTTACCGTGGCTGATTCAAAATAAACTTTGTTTCGCCGTTTGCTGATATCCTACCTTACCTTGCTGGCTGGTTAGCGCGCTTGTACGACCGTTGTATACGTGATCGCGCTCATTGCTGACGAAGGCTCTTCGCCCACCCACCCTTCGCGCACCTGGAGAAACAGCAGCGCAACCCCCTCGTAACTCGACACTCTTACTCGTTAACGTTGCTCGACATACTTCCTCGTGTTTCTAAATTAGATATGTGCATTTGTTCGACGACGGATGCCTTTTTCAGCATTATATCGATATGCGTTTTAAATAAGATACTGAAGAGAGAGAGAGAGAGAGAGAGAAAACTTCAAAATTTTCAAAATTAAAATGATTAAGTTATTATAGCGTACATTACTTTTTAGTTATTCTTTAGCTCTCCCTAAAAACTTTGATACATAAGTTTGATATCCGTACAAAGTTATTGATTTTTATTCATGGGAATCTTTAATCGTATTATGAACCGGGACTCATTTTAATTTTTCTGACTGGTCGTAATTAATGGCACTAAAATGAACTCTATTAATTTGATGCATGACTCTATAATGAAATTTTATGCTAGCTCTGTTAACGTATCATATATAAATATACGAAGGAAATTGCATGCTTTTAGCAGCGATAGACACAAGAAAAGCAAGAGTTCATCCTATGTTTCTCATGAATAATCTTTCGCTTTACAAAGCATCTTTTCTCATCGATGTGATAATAGATATTCATAACATAGCCATATAGAATACGTTTACAGAATTATAATTCGCAAATCTTATACATATACATGTACGTAATATACTTATAACTTTCACGTAACACATTATTACGGAGTGAGAAAAAAACATATTTTATTATTCTCGCAGATAGAGGTATTTCTTTTTACTTATATTTTATACGCATAGTTTATAACATTTGCTTTTTTTTTATAAAAGCAACTACTTTGACTTCGTACACAAGCACTGTTTTATTTGTATATTTTACAATATTTTATTCGATAAATAAAGTAAAAAAATATTTACTTCGTTCGTAGATCCTACTCTATTGTTTTAATTCTTTGAGAACAATTCTTTTTTGAGGTATTGTCATAGTCATAGTTTCTTCAGAAAACATGAGAAAAAATGCCTAATGCTGAATAATTTTAATTTCTCAATTTTATTTTTAAATTCACGTTATAAAAATAAATTATTAGTTATTATTCGCTTTTTAAACGATTTGTTGGTACTTTTTAGTAAATCGATCATTAATAGTATATTGTTAAATATTGTCGAAAAAAAAATCAAGAAATTTTCGAGAAAATAGAACAACTCCAGGGACTTGACAATAAAAAAGTATAATCTATTTTGCTTGTTTTATTACGACCGTGTCTTTCCATTTACAGTATAAAAGAAACGGAAAAGATGCATTTTCATCAATAACCGGATATGACGGCGCTATTAATACGAGTAATACGCTTGTTTAAGGCAACAAATAGCTTTCGTTTATCGAGAATCCATTTTTCAAAACTTTCGTCGATCCTCTGCAATAGCCAGGAAACAATTTATAAGCCGTTTTCGTGCGCTTTAGCGGACATTTTCGCGCGGCCACGGTGACAATACGGGTGTCTATTCAATGTAGGGGCGTGCATTATCTTTGATAAAATACGGTATTAGGTATAACAGGAACGGCCGGAATTGGGTCGCGCGCGCGATCTTCAGCGTCGGTACCGATTTACTAAGGCAGAGTAATGGAGCTCGGGTGCTTTATGTCCTCTTTACACCGCTCCAGAACGACCCTGCAGATACTTCCCGCGCAACGATCCTCTCACCAACGCATCCCACGGATTGATACTAAGGAAAGCAAATGTTTGCTCATACCTAAGAGAAGAAGTCGACCTGAGATACCCTTGCCGTAATTAAACGTGATACTTTATACGATTTAACCCTACTCGCAGTAAGACGCGTTGACACGCTACGCGTCTCGCGGTTCCGCGTTTTATTCGAACAAGTTTTGATCAGATTTTAAAGTTCGCTCGAATTTACTTCGAACAAACACAATGCACAGATCAAATATATTGCTACATAAAGAAAGAAGGAAATATCAAAAATGCGAGTCATCCGGTATATAGTATTATAGTTATGTACTTTTGTTTATTCAATTCAGTTATACGAAATTAGTTTTATAATCTTTTCATGGAATTGATTAACAAACAATACTTTGAGAAAACTGAATTATAATTTTGCATTGTATTTATAGTGATTTTAATTGAATATTATACTGACAGCTAATCATTTAACGAGATAATATTTGGAGTATTTAATGTTAAGAGCTGTGAGCTGTGAGAGAGTTAGCAACATATGACGTCTTATGTAGTTTGAATAGGACTTAATACCATGATATGCGAGAATAGCTCTTGGGTTGTTGTTACAATAGACCATACTTACTACGGACAGTACACGTGAAAGCTATTGTCATTAGACTGCTTGCTATACGAAGTCTTCCGTTTAACTACATAAGATGGTCTTACTAAACTATGTATATTATTCAATTTTGAATTCTGAAACGAATTATGAAAATATTTAAGAAATTTAGAGAAAATAAACTATCAAAGGAATATTTACAGTAATATAAATACTTTTATAGTTTTGTTTAAAATATTTATCTTCATGATTCATATTTTTAAGAATTTACGTAAAAAATTACTTTAAAAGTTTACGTCAAAGATATTTATTTATAACATCAGACAGTTAGATTTATATTTTATGTTGTAGATTGTATTAAAATATTGGTAATATTTTTCTTAAAATTTTTTGTAATATTCGGAAAGAATATTACAAACCAATTGCTGTCTTTTTTTTTTTTTAACGAAACAAGGGACTTTAGATAACATGTTTGTCCAGAACACATCATAGAAACTGACCTACATGTTCTTGTTATGACGCTATTAACGCGTTCCGTAAACCATCCTTTACATAACCCGTTGCAAGTTAATTGTCGCGTTTACAAATAACACGCAATTTTACTTTACTATACCGCTATTGCAAACTAGATCGACATAATGGAGCTTTATTTTGTTTATCCTACTTAAATATTTCATATTGTCTTTTCAAAATTAATAAAATATGCTTCTTTTTTTCCAATGATATGGCTGCGAGCAAAGAATAGGATATTTTGCCGATATTCATAGACCATATTTATTTCAAGACCGTCTTAAGTAACGTCTTCGGATGCTCTGATTGATTTATGACATCTTAAAATTGTCTTAATATAATATCCTAAATATAAAAATCGAACTATGAATATACTGGTCCATATCTATACGATTTTGAGAATTTAATTTGAGGATTGTTATCGCAATTCCCCACATGGTTCTAAAAAGCTTTATATTTATAGATTAATCAGAAACTAAACGTGCCAACAGTTACGTAGACAAGAATCCGAACTGGTGATGGAACCATCGCACGATCTTTCGTTCTTTCTCGCCGTTAAACGATACGAGCGTAAGTGGTGCTCAATAAAAATTGGCTCATCCCGACATTATCGCTGAT